AAGCTGCTTCTGCATTGCTTTTCTTGGCTAAATTCAGACAGATATAACCAAAATTAGGATTCAGAATCAGCTGTTTTTTTATTTCGGTCCCAAAAACTTTTCATTATTCCGAACCCCTCAAACAATAGCTGATTCTGAATAATTCCCCGAAAACTTTTCATTAATCCGAACCCCTCCACTAAAAGGGGTGCCACATTACTGGGAAGTCGGATAAGGCTGTACTTGGTATGCATAGGGGAGACATGGCCCCACGTGATCGTAATCTCAGCTCCTTATCCAAGGCATTTGGGGGAAAAACCCTAGAATGGATCCACATGAGCGATAGGCTAAACTCCATAAAAGGGGGGTTATATAAGGATTTACGTAGGGGATTATTTTACGGTTTGTTACGGGGGATACTCGGAGTTTGGACTATGGCTCACATGAGGCTTTTAAAGCATTACTTGAATCAGCGCAAAGGCTTATCCCCGCACTCTAGAGCTCCTACCTCAAGCTCTGACTCCGAATCTTACTGGTGCTTAGTGGGGAGTTAAGGAATATACTATGATATATAGGGATAGTATAGGGCTGTATTCCCTTATTCCCTACTACCCACCAGTAGGATATACCCCTGCATATCCTCATATGACCTTGTATAGCCCCCATATAACTCCTAAACTGCCTTCAAAGGGACCAGCTTAGCGCTTCTCTCACCTGAGGTGCCGCTGCGCCGCCTGCGCCAGTGTTGGCCCGGATGGCGGAGTATGGCATCGAAGTGAGCTTCTTGCTCAGGGTTTAGGGTTTGGGGATATTATGCCCCTATAAGGTAGAATCAAGTGAAGAAGAGAACGGAAAAATAAGATGGAAACTGGAGTTATATGGAGGTTATACTATACTGTAGTTTCTTTTTACTAGTGACTCCAGTAATACCCCTCTTCCCTTTTCATTTGGGGTCTCCTCATGAAAATTGAACAGTAGGAAAAAGGGAGTTTAGGGCGAAGCGTTTTGTGATTCGGGGTTTAGGGCTTAGGATTTGGGAGGGTTGAGAAGTTAGGGGTTTTGTGGTTCAGGGTTGAGGGTCCTTCAGGGTCTTCGTGACTACTAAGTTGGGCCGCGAACAGTCCGTGCGTGTAAGGCTCCAATAGTTCAGGTACAACGCCCCACTCTGAGCCAACGTCAGTACTACCTGTTGGATCCTTAGTGTATGAGCTGTCGGGGACGATCAGTGACAGTGAGATACTTGTCTTCATCGGTTTGTAACCATGTCCTGCGGTGGGAGCAAGTCCGTAAACCATACTTGGAGGGTCAGGGGAACTTAGTAAGTAGGCTAATAACCCCTATAAACCACGTAGTAACCCTAGTTATCCCGATTATTAACCCACTTGCTAAGTCCCCCTTACCCTCCAAGTAAACCCAACCTGCAACCTTGAGCCACAAGTCCTAGCCCTCAGCCCAAGCCCCTGAACCCTCCCTCAACCCTCAGCCCGAAACCCCTAAAACCCTTATACCCTGACTTACCCTTAAACCCCTAAACCCCTAAACCCTAAAACCCTAAAACCCTAAAACCCTAAACCTCTAAACCTCTAAACCCCTAATTTTTGGAGAACCCGCATCTGGCAAGCTATGGGCTCAGGCCATGTCTATGGGCTCACGGAGGGCTACGGCACAGGTGCCGAACGTGGTTGGTTTTAGGGTTATATGGGATTTTCCCAAAAAATAGGGGTACCTTTTTGGGGGTCCCTATAATAAGGACTATGGCATTTTGGGGTCTATATTGGGGTCCACTTATTTTGGGAAACTACCATATAGAGTTTAGGGTTTAGGTTTTAGGGTAATCTAGGGGTTATTTGGGGATAATGGCAAAATGGAAACTACTATTCAGGGTTGAGGCCTGAGGTGTATGGAGGTTTAGAGTGTACTGTAGGGGGTACGTGGGGTTGGGGGGTTCGGTTTGAGGCTTCAGAGATTCTAGGGTATCGGCGTCCAGCTTTTGCGCGCAGACTCATGGCAGTTTCTAAGATTCCTCTTTCTCCCGGGAACTCGTGGCAGTTTTCGAAATGCCCATGAGGAATCCCCATACTGCAATAAATCGCCTTCGTCCCCACCCGCCCCGAGTACTGCAAGAAGTGGGAGGGAACCTCACAGGGCAGGTTGCAGGAACTCGGCCCTTTTCAGAGGGCTGAGCCTGTGCGTGTTCTCAGCATGCCATTCAGAACGGTCGGAAAGAATCTCTGACTTCAAGTCCTTTCCTCAATCTTGATGGAAAGGACATCCGTAAACCCTGCAGCGGCTCCTCAACCCAAGCCGTAAATCCAATGCCACGAACCACTGAAGAATCTACACCAAGCACAGAACTGTTGGGTTTACGGTCTCGGGCGGCTGAGGCACCTCGACTTTCGGGATGGTTGTCTTTCGGAAGAGGGGAGGGGTCTATCCAGCGGACATAATCTTCAGTTCGTACGGCCCACATCTGTGAAGTCTGAGGTACTGTTCTGTGCGGCCGCCCTTATGGGAGCTCAATGGAAACTTGTGGTCACGCCACAGCAGCCTAGAATGGGATTACGTGGCTGCCATCGTACGGCTCCAATCTCCCTTCCTGAGTTGGATTCTCAATTAATCCCCTTCCCGGCCTAGTACAACCCCCCACCCTCCTAATTAGATATTGCCAAGGTAGTATAATACACAACAATGGGAATATTTCACCTTACAGGACTGACATTTTTAATGCCTGAGCAGGGGCACACAGTTGCAGAATAAAGTGGAAAAGGCAAAAAAACATGGAATGGCAACCGATAATGGAGGGTCAGGAGAGAGTCAGGCGGAGTAAGTAGGATAATGATGGGGGATAGCTGGGATTTTCATTTTCATATGGCTCACAAGGTTCATTAAACTACTACCCTAAATCCTGAAACCTAAGCCCTGACCCTTGAAGTGAGCCTCAGGAAGCTGTCGTGTGTGCCGTCAGGTGTGATGTGCGAGTGGAAGGACGAGTGGAACGACAAGTCCATGGAGGAGAAGGCAAGGAGGTTTAGGGTTTAGGGGTTAGGGACTTGAAATGGGGACCCCCAAAATAGGAAACCCCAAGAATATAGCAGGAATTTAACCGAATAGAATTCTACCTATCAGGGTCCTTATTCCTTGTATAGTCCTACCCTATGCTTGGGGTTCCCTGCTTAAGGGTCCCCGTTTTACTCGTTGCAAACATAAAATTGGAACCAAATGTAGGCCACTGAGTAGTACTTGTTTGGCAAGAGTGAGTTACAGCACGCCACCCAGTTTACAGATTCCTGATTTTTTCCGCTGCCGACAATACTCCAAGCTCATACGCCTGAATTATCCTGAGGTTTGTAATCTGGTAGAGAGTTGTTCATGAGGGTCTGTCACAGTTGTGACAGCGCCATCAACAAGCATAGTTCACCAATGTGAGCCTCAAGCGGGTAAGAGAGAAGCCTGAAATAATACACATGTTGTTCGGCCATAACCCTTCTAGAGCTACACTGCGGCATGCCCCAAATCCTGATTCAGACGCCAAAAATTCCACGTAATCTCGTAGACCCTAAGCCCTAAAACCTCATTTTTGAAAGGAGACTGCGGCTTCACAGACATAGCAGGCAGTGGTATGGCCTCCTTGCTCGGAAGATTCAAAGGGTTTTGGTAACCCCAACCCTAATTGTAGTAGGGACCTGTTAAAATAGTCATATCAGCTCATAGCTATAATGTCCCTCCCTAAATAGTAGTTTCCATGTTCTTTTCCATTATCCCAATATAACCCCGAATTCTACCCTAAGGCCTGAACCTCATGCACTGTGGGTCCGAATCATGGATCAGGCGGCCTTTCTGGCCAGACAAGGTGTGCGATGCCTCGAGCCACTTGTCAGCGTAGGCTTACAGGGGTGGGGATAAAGCTTCGAGTGCGCATTTTAGGGTTTATAGTCCCCCTTAAGTAGACAGAATATGGCTTTGGGTAGATTATAATAAGATCCCCATATACCCCATATTCTATCTACTTAAGGGGGACTATGGGTTTCATGGGCTTAGGGTAAGGGTTTAGGTTTCAGGGGCTAAGTTCGTTGCTGGCATGGATGTGGATGTGACAACTTTCTCAGGAATCCTAGGCCCTAAACCCTAAGCCCCAACCACAAAACTGCATGATTTCGCGTGAGTTTTGAAAGTCCATGGCTGAGGGGTTTTCCTCGGGCGTTGTACGGGGTTTCCCAAAATCAGGTGTGCTTGTGTTGAGGGTCCTTATAATCAGGATTACAGTATTTCGGAGTCTTTTTAGGGTCCCCCCATTTTGGGAAGCTACCAATATGGGGGTCAGTAGGGTTTGGGGTGGAGTTTTCCATCTGCTACTCCAGCACCTGAGACTGTCAGGACTTCTTCGAGGCCTGTGAAGGCTTTTCTGAGACCGTCTCCCTTGCTGCACGTTCCACCTGCGGCATCTTTAAAGGAGCCATCAAACGCTGCCCAGGGGAAAGACCTACGTAGAAAGAACAACACACGCAGCCTTAAGAGCCTAAGACCTTCCCTGAACCCACAATTCTAAAGCCCTGAACGCCCTGAGCCCGAGCCCTAAACCAACTACAACCTCGTTTCTGGCACTGAGGCTGGAATACCTGGAGGTCATTGATCCGGAGACGCGAAAGCCAGTTCCCCGGGATGGCCAGACGATCGGCGAGATCGTCATGAGCGGCAACACCATCATGAAGGGACCCTCTACTGGAAACTATTATAGTATATTGGGGCTATATGGGGATAATTGAAAACAAGATGGAAACTACTATAGTATGTTGGGGTTATATGGGGATAATGGGAAATTAGCTGGACACTACTATAGTATATTGTGGTTATACGGGGAGAATCGAAAATAAAATGGAAACTACTAGAAGTAGTTTTAGCTGGTTCCTTGTTGGGATGTAATCTTTTTGAAAGACTACTATCCCAAAAGGGGCCCTCTACTAAACCAAGTGGTGATTACCAGTTTTCTTTTGGGATGTTATTGAGGACCTTTGCTGATCTGGCAACTGGAGGGAACGTGGGTTGTGGTGATTATACAATGTGTGCCGGGACTACCACCATCATGAACGGACCTTCTGCCAAACTGATTGATGGTTAGCCAGTTCCTTTTGCGGAGGTTGGTTACTAAACAAGATCATCATGCAGCGACCCTCAACAGAAAATAATGCGTGGTTCGGAGAACATCAAGGAGAATTGTTGACAGGGACTTTGACAAAGGGTTTAGTTATACAGGGAGCCACCATGAAGGGACCCTCTACTGAATCAACTGCGGCTACAGACCATAAGACCTTAACCCTAGACTCTGGGAGGGTTGTTTAAGGTTTGGAGCTTAAGAGCGGGCCGGGCCCCAAACAGGAACCCGCAAGAATACGACAGGTATACCGTAGGAATATACATACCAGGGTCCTTACATTTTTTCGATATTCCTAATATACTCTTCGGATCCATTTTATAGCAGAGCCAGCCTTGAACTTCAGACCCCATTTTAATATAGGGGCCGAAATATTACCAATATCATGGTTCCACATTCCTTACATAATTGGTACCTCAAATGGACCTCAAAGTGATATTGGTCATCATTTAGGCCCCTGTAGTACATCTCTGAATCCGCAGAGGGACTATTACCCAGAGGGTCCACATATACAACTAGTAGGGAATTAGGCCCCAAAATACCATACTGTAGAAGGAATTATGGGTCCCAATTCCTTAATGGTTGTATATGTGGACCCGCTGGGTTAGAAGCAGAAAGGGGCCCTAAACCTCGATCCTGAGGACAGATGGGACTGTGGAGGGCGACGCCCCGAGACCAAAGCCCCAAATCCCGAATCCTAAAGTAAACTCTGAACACTGACTTACTGGCTCTTAGTAGGGAATAAGGGAGTGCATTAGATAGGGAGTTTTATAGGGATTATATTCCCTCTTTCCCTACTAAGGACCAGTAAGCAAATCCTGAATAAAACTCTAAACTGAAGGCCTCAAAAGACGTTTGTCTTGTTTCCAGGTTACTTCAAGAACCCCGAGGCGACGGCCAAGGAGTTCAAAGGAGGGGCCGGGGCCTGAGCCGATCGAGTTTTGGTACTTTGGACCCTACACCCTAAACCCCTGGGAGGATCTAAAAAATAGATCCCCTATATAGACGCATTAAAAACGACATATAATTCTTATATGATTTCCCCTATTGTGCTAGGGGATCTAATTTTTAGATTTTTTTGGGGGTCTGGGAAACCCTAATCCCTACCTAGAAAGCCAGTTGCACGTAATTATAGGCAACTTTCCGCTAATTTCCTATTACTTTGAGTTAAAGTAACCCATTATTATGGGTAACTAGGCTTTCTAGGTAAGCCCTACACCCTAAACCGCTTGTTGGGATTCCTTTAAGGAGATAGGGGTTATATGAATGTTGCATATTATTCGTATGTAGGTTTAAGGTGTTTGGGTGTTAGGGCTTTTGGGCTTGAGGGTTCCGATTTGAGGCTTTTGGAGCTATAATTCAGGGTCCTGGCGTTTGGTTGCAGAGTTTGGGGTTTAGATCTTGGAAGTTTGGTCTTGGGCTTGAGGATATGTACGATTTGGGCCGACGATGTGAGGGCTTTTGGGTTTGGGTTCACGGGTTGGTCGGAGTGTCTGCGGTATGCACGCGTATGAAAAGATTAGGCAAGGGTTTACTGTTGATACAGAAAGGCTTGCATTAGCCTAGTATAGGAGCATAATGCCCAAGGTATAAAGCAGCTGGGGTCTTGCAGGACCTTTTGGTATCGACTATAGGCGCATTCTAGGAGACATGAGACATCTAGGAGGAACTGAGGGGTTCTTTAAGCTCGGCGGATGCAGCGAGTATACTGCTTGAATTTGATAGCTGCCAGAGAGCGCACCAGAATCCGCGTGTAAACCTGCTTCCTGAGCCTGTCCGACTCATGTTTCCTCGCTTCAATAAAGTTCAGGCAAGTTTAGGGCTTCTGGCTTTTGGCCCCATACTTACATTGAAAGCCACGCCCACCCTCGACCCTTTATTGCCCCCAATGCTGCGAAAAGCACGGCCCAGAATGTTGAGGTCTTCAACACCGGCGACTTGGGCGTCAGATATCCGGACGGCTACATTCAGCTGAAAGACCGCTCTAAGGACGGGTGGTGGCACATGATCAATGCCTCTAAAATGAGAACGTCTCGAAATAGGTAGCCATGTGAACCAATTACGAGTACCAGAACCCCGGTACCCCCCTAAACCCTGAACCCCTAAACATCTAAACCCTAGCCCCTAAACTCCTAAATACCTATACCGAATTTGTAGTTTCCCCAAATCAGGGGACCCCAATATAGACCCCAATATACTATAGTCCTTATTATAGGGACCCCCAAAAAAGGTACACCTAATTTTGGGAAACATCTAAACCCTAATCCCTAAACCCCATATACCCTATATACCCCCATAGAACCCCTTTGTAACCCCTATACCCCCTTCAAAGGTACCCCGAATTTTGAGAAACCCCC